CACTTTCTCACACAAAAACACACACTCTCTCTTTCTCTCTCTCTCTTTCTCTCTCAATCACACACATAAACACACGTTTTTCACTCACACAAAAAACACTCACACACTCTCTTTTTTTTCTCTCTCTCTCTCTCAATCACACACATCTACACACTCTCACACTCACACACAACATACACACACACGCGCGCGCGCATTTTTCGCCAAATTCTTTCCCAGATGGACAACAAGGGCAATAGGGTCATCCTACCGGACAGCGAGTCTGCCATTAACATACCCGCTGTGGCCGCTGCCCATAGCATTAGAAATTATGTGGCCCAATCAGCTGACGAGCTGTCCCTTAATGTAATAAATACAATTATTGTAATTATGAATTGCAATAATTATTATTAATTTTTCGTTTTTACTGGACATTATGTTATTTATTACGCATACACACATCAAACAAACAAACACACACAGTTCACACACACACACACACACACACACACACACACACACACAAACATATACGAACATACACACATACGAACATACACACATACGAACACACACACACACATACGAACACACACAGTTACGCACACATACACACGCGCATACAAACACATACGAACGTACACACATACGAACACACACAGTTACACACACGTACACACTCATAAAAGCACATACGCACACACAGACACACACACACAGACACACACACACATCGCAGGTTGGGGACATATTGTCAATCATTGACAAACCGCCCTCCAATGAATCAAGCTGGTGGAGAGGGAAGAAGGAGTTTGAGGTTTGTTGGTCTAGTTGATAAAATTGAGTGAGAGAATAAGAGAAAAGTAGATAAAGAGAGAGAGAGGGATAGATAGATGGATGGATGGATGAATGAATGTATGGATGGATAGATAGATAGATAGATAGATCGATAGATAGATAGATAGATAGAGAGAGAGAGACAGACAGACAGAGAGAGAGAGAGATAGACAGACAGATAGATAGAAAGATAGATAAATAGATAGAGATAGCGAGAGAGAAAAAGAGAGCACTTATAGTTCTAGTCCCAAACAGGATATAGAAGAATAGAGGTTTAGGCAGGTAGATGGGAAATAGCTCTTGTTATTATTATTAATTATTATTATTACAATAATTATCATAATTATAGAACACTTTCACATTCACGCATTTTTTTAATTGTATGAATGAATACTACAATGTGAAGCGCTTGTTTGTGTGTGTGTTTTTTTGATAAATGTATAAGTGTGTAATGTTCGTTCGTTCGTTCGTTCGTTCGTTCATTCGTTCATTCGTTCATTCGTTCGTTCATCCATCCGTCCGTCCGTTTATTTCTAGGTTGGTTTTTTCCCATCCGATTGCGTGGAGCTATTGGAGTCCAATAAGATCCCACAATCCATCGCTTGTAGGTACGCCGTCAACAGCATCCAACTGAAGCATTGTAAGTCTTGCGTTGCAGCTGCATACACACCACACGACCTATATACATACATATATACACACCACACGACCTATATACAATACAATACACACATACAATACACAATACTCATATTGGTGAGGCGCTTGTATATGTGTTTTATACACACATATACATAATCAATGTTTGATACACATAAATCATATACAACACATACTTGTACGTAACAGAACATACACACCACACGACCTGTATACAATACAATACACATATACTATACACAATACAATAGACAATACACATGTGTATGAATATTATAATACGAAGCGCTTGTATATGTATTATGCACACATATATATTATATAATCAATGTTTGATACTCATATACCACATACAATACAAATTTGTATGCAACAAAAAAATACACATCACAATGTGTGGGATGGTCTTTTTTTTAATTTCGAACAGGCAGGATTCGAACCCTGTTAGCAGGCAATACAAAAGACGCTAGACACTACATTCTTACCGTCTGAGCTAACAAATTTGTCAAAAATTATATTTTAGAAAACGCTAAATTATAATTAATTTATTAATAAGCAATATTAATTATAATCATACTAAATTATGATAATTGTCATAATATTAATGTAATAAAATAAATTTAGCACACTCTCTTGGCCGAAAAACTAAATTGAAGTCCTTGCTGATGAGTTTTTTCTCTACGAGGCCAAATAGATCTTCATTGAAGAGGACAGGCATCGTTAAGGAGAGGTTGTTTGCATGTGATCTCGGAGAACATCTGCTTAACTCCGGAGAAGATGGTTGGTTGGTCGGTCGGTTGGTTGGTTGGTTGATTGATTGGTTGGTTGATTGGTTAGTTGGTTGGTTGGCCGGTTAGTTGATTGGTTGGTTGGTTGGTTGGTTGGTTGGTCGTTAATTGGTTGGTTGGTTGATTGATTGGGGCCTGAGTAATTGACTGAATGAATGATTGATTGAGCGATTGAAAAAATATAGAACGAACGAATGAATGAATGAATGAGTGGATGAATGAATGGATGAATGAATGAATGGATGAAAGATTGTTTTCATGTGGTCTAAGAATACATTTGCTTGATACAGAAAAGGATGGATGGCTGGCTGGTAGATTGATTGATTGATTGATTAGTTGATTGATTCACACACACACACTCTCACACACACACACACGCACACACGTACACATAAACACAGTACCCACAATTCTGAGATGTTGTTCGGAGGTATTGGAGGTCTATGGAATTGTCGACGGCATATACCGGCTGTCCGGGGCTGCCTCAACCATCAATAAACTCAGGCATCATCATTATTATCATTATTGTTATTATTATTTATAATTATTATTATTTCTATTTATAATTATTATTATTATTATTATTTATAATAATTATTATTATTCTTATTTATAATAAATATTATTTTTATTTATTATTATTACTATTTATAATTATTATCATTATTCTTATTCATAATTATTATTATTTATCATTATTATTATTTTTAATTATAATTATTATTATTTTCTTTTTTTTTGAAATGATGATGGCGATTTAATGATGGTTCGTTAGGTGGGTGGGTGGGTAGGTGGGTAGGAAAAAAATTAGTAATGAAAAAAAAAGATACTTAATAACAATGTTAAACGATGATAATAATAGTAGTAGTAGTAGTAGTAGTAGTAGTAGTAGTAGTAGTAGTAGTAGTAGTAGTAATAATAATAATAATAATAATAATAATAATAATAACATAATAATAATAATAATAATAATAACATAATGATAATAATAATAACATAATGTTGATGATGATGATGATAATAATAATAATAATAATAACAACATAATGATAATAATAATAATATAATGATAATAATAATAATATAAAGATGATAATAATAATAATTAGGAACGAGTTTGACGAGGGTAAAACGCCACAACTATCATTGGAGAGCTACAAGCAGGATATTCACAGCATAAGTTCACTTTTAAAAATGTACTTCCGGGAGTTGCCAAACCCCCTTCTGACCTACCAGCTATACGATTCTTTTATCGTTAGTGTTTGTTGTTGTTGTTGATAATGTTGTTGTTGTTGTTTGTTGTTGTTGTTGTGTTTTTCGTAATGGTATTTTTGTTACACTTACACACATCATTCACACACACATACATACACGCATTTATATAAACATACGCATTTATATACACATACACACCCATACAAAAACACACACACAAAAACACACATACACACACAAACACATGTGAATTAATTATATTTGGTTATCAAGTGCTATTATTTTTAATAATTTAATAGCCTGTCTACATACTGTTTCATAGGTGGATGGATGAATGAATGGATGAATAAATGGATGAATGAATGATTGGATGAATGGACAAAAGAACGAATGAATGGCAGATAGATTAATATATGAATGGATGAGTAAACGAAGGAATGAGTGAATGGATGAATGAATGAAAAATTTTCTAAAAATTATGCTGATCTTATTAATAATAATATATTAAATTACGTTGAAAATTATGACAGGAAGCCATAACGGAGCGAGAAGAATCGGTGAGACTCAGTAAGATATGTGACGTCATCAAGCAACTTCCGCCCCCGCACTATAGGTCTGTTGCGGTTGTTGATGCTGCTGCTGCTACTGCCACTACTGCTGCTGCTGATGATGTTGATGATGATGTTAAAGATGGTGATGATTATACAGTTGTTTTGTTGTTGACGTTGTTTTTTTGTCGATATTATTGTCGTTGTTTTATTTATTTTTATATTTATTATTGTAATTATTTTTTTTATTATTATTGTTATTATTATTGTTCTTGTTATTATTATTATTGTTCTTATTATCACCATCGCCAACAAAGGACTGCCGAATTTTTGTTTCGTCACTTGAACAAGATGGCCTCCCACGATAAGAGTACCTCAATGCACTGCAAGAACCTCGCCATTGTTTGGGCTCCTAATCTACTCAGGTAGTCTAGACGTCTGTCTGTCTGTGTATCTGTCTGTCTGTGTATCTGTCTGTCTGTGTATCTGTCTGTCTGTGGAGATGATTATGGCGATGGTGTTGATGACACTGATAACACAGTTGCTGATGTTGATGATGATGATAAAGATGATGATGGTGATAACTTAAGCTTATCATAAAAACTTTTAAATGTGAACAATGAGATTAGAGCTGCACACAGCAAACATTCACGCTTTACCTTAAACAATTAAATTTCATTCCAATTAAACGATTATGAACGAGTCGAGTGAGGATAAGTTTGAGTTAGACTATCAGTATTTATTTCTTGCCTTTATAAATATTTATACTTCATCAACAATGACACCATCAACGAAAAACATCAACGTCATCAGTGGCGCTAACATTAATAGCAATAACCTTACAAACATCAACAGCAGACAACACTATCATCAACAAGCACAAGCAAACAAACACACGCACATAAACAAACACACGCGTAGAAACATGATCGCAGAAGAACCTCACGAGCAGTAAAAATCAACGACATCAACATTATAAACATCATCAAGCGAGCGACAGCGCCGGTGCAACAACAATTCACGATACACTAACAAACAAACAATCGCACACACACTAACACACACACACTAACACACACACACGTACACACACACACACGACACACACACACACGTACACACACACGACCTAGATCGAAAGAGCTAGAACAGATGAAGTGTGGCACGGCTGCCCTACGAGGCGTTGGCGTACAAGCCGTCGTCACAGAGTTCCTCATTAAGAGGGTGGCTGACGTTTTTATGGACGAGAACCTAAGCTCCGATGACCAGATATCGGCTGGTTTGTTTGTTGTCCCTTTGTTGTCCCTTTGTTGTCCCTCCCTGTTTTTTTGTTTGCTTCCGTCTCTTTTCTGGTTCTTTCTCTTGCTGTCTCTCTCTCTTTCCTTCTCTCTCTTTGTCTATTTATCGTCTGCTGTGTAATGTGTTTGTCTGTATTTGTTTTTTTATATTCTCTCTTTTTTCTCTTTCTCTCCCCCCTCTCACTCTCTTTATCTCTTTATCTCTTTCTCTCTTCTTTTTTCTTGATGATTCTTTTCTGGATGATCTTGGAGTCTTTGCTACGTTCGTCCGTCTGTATGCGTGCCTGTCTGTCTGCGTGTCTGTCTGGTTTAGCATCGTATTTTTTGTTGCTAATAGTATTGAAAGTTAGAGCTGTCGCTTCAATCATCATGTTGATTATCATCATCGCCATCGTCGTCTTCATCACCATTACAGCCACCATCGTCATCATCTTCATCATCATCTTCCATCTTCATCATCATCTTCCATCGTCCTCATCATCATCTTCCATCATCATTATTATTATCAACAGACTGCCTGAGGAGCAAATCATTATCATCAGCGCCACAACCATCGTCATCGTCGCTATCGTCGTTTTCGACGCCACGCCTACTTACGTTAGAAGAAGCGCAGGAGAGGCGGTCGCAACTGGCGGCCAGCCACCTGAAGCAGATGTCGTTTATAGAGGTCGGACAGGGTTCCTCTGGACTGCCGGCTAAATATCATACCATCATTAGCCTGCCTAAGGAGTTAGTAGTTAGTGTGAAGTGAGATTGGTTGGTTGGTTAATTGATTGGATGATTGATTGATTGATTGATGGATGATTGATTAGTTGGTTGGCTGGTTGATTGATTGGATGATTGATTGATTGATTGGATGATTGGTTGGTTGGTTGGTTGGTTGGTTGATTGGATGATTGGTTGGTTGGTTGGTTGGTTGGTTGATTGGATGATTGATTGATTGATTGGTTACTTATATTTGCTAATAATCTATGCATACACATACACACATACATACATACAAATATATACACACACACACACATACATACCCACGTACATACCAACACCAGCAAGAAGAAGTTACGAGAGAAGCTACCTTCACCATCTCGCTTACGATCTCTCTTTATGAGGAGTCACTCGAGTAGTTTTAAAGATGTTGACGGATTAAAGGAGAGTTCTGGGAGTGCTGGATTGATTGGTTAGTTGAATGGTTGGCTGGTTGGTTGGTTGGTTGGCTGATTGGTTGGTTGGTTGTTTGGTTTGCTAGTTTGTTGGTTGACTGGTTGATTGGTTGGTTGGTTGGTTGATTGGCTGGCTGGTTGGTTAAATGGCTGATAACAGTGTGATGGAATAATTATAATAATTATAATTATTATATTTTTATTATGATTATTATTTCAATTCATATAATCACCTCGAAAAAAACAAGAATCTGTTTCAATGCGAGAGAAGAAGACTTCATCATTTCATCATCGTCATCATCATCATCAGCAGCAGCAGCAACAACAACTTCCAGCTACAAATGCTACCACCACTGCCAACTACAACAACAATAAAAATGACGATTATGATGATGATAACAATAATAATAATATTAATAATAATAATATTAATAATAATAATAAAAACTACTCTAAACGTAATTTAAGTACAAGCGCCCTCTTATGCAGCAATAAGCCCAAAACTGGGGAAGGAAGTTTTGGTTGGTTGGTTGATTGGTTGGTTGGTTGGTTGATTGATTGATTGGTTGGTTGGTTGGTTGATGATTGATTGATTGATTGATTGATTGATTGATTGATTGATTGATTGATTGATTGATTGATTGATTGATTGATTGATTGATTGATTGATTGATTGATTAAATGACCTACTTATGACTGACTATGTAGTTTGTCGATTGATTGGCTGTTTGATTTTTGATTGAACCTATGATTAAATATGATTGTTTGAATTTTTTTAAAAATATCATTATTATTATTATTATTTATTATTATTATTATTGTTATTATGGTTATAATTATTACCTCTAGGAATTTTGAACGAATTAAAACGGTTGTCATCATCCTGCGATCTTCCACCAAACATTAACCTCGCCATGCTATCCGCCAACAGTACCGACCAAGGTTTATTATTATTATTATTATTGTTGTTGTTGTTGTTGTTGTTATTGTTGTTGTTGTTGTTGTTGCTGCTGTTGTTGTTGTTGATATTGTTGTTATTATTATTAAATGACACTTCCATCAGCTAAGCCAGTGAAGAACAAATGCAGATCGACCAGTGTTGACGTTAAGGCAGTTGAAGTCAACAATTTACTCAAATCTCTCAACAACAACAACAACAACAACAACATTAATAGCAAAATTAAACAAACGTCTAGCAGCAGGTCGTTGCAGTTGCGACACGCCAGCAACAACAAAATGGTCCTCACAGATGGCGTTGACGACCTCGCTGATGGTGACGACACTTCCTCGCCTACTGTTCTATGCGCCAGGCCGCCTTTTTCATTGGAAAGCACTTCTAAAAAGAAGCAGAAACAGCAGCAACAGCAGCAGCTGCAACAACAACATCGCAAACACCATCAACAACAATATCAACCACAACAACATCAACCACAGCACCAGCAACAATACGACAGACAGTCAGAGCCGCCTACGTCCAAAAGAAAGAAAGCGAATTCGGTTTCGGCTGACGATTCGCGCAACAAAAGCGGCCACAACAGCGGCAGCAGTGGCGGTAGTAGTAAACTTTTTAGCTCTTTTGTTAACAAACGCAAGTCAACAAAAGCAACAACAACATCAGCAACAACTACATCAACAACAGCATCAGCAGCAGCAACAACTACGTCAACAACAGCATCAGCAGCAGCAACAACTACATCAACCACTACAGCCGCAGTAGCAACAACAAAATCACAACTTCAGCAGCAAGACGACGGTTTAGTACGTTTTCAAAGCTCGCCAATATCTTTCAATGAAGTTGATCATGATGATGACGACGACGACGACGATGATGCTGCCGCTGTTGTTGATGATGATGACGACGAAATTAATAACATTAATAATGTGGTGGAAGATGATGATTATGATCGCCAGTTAGATGAGCCGGTGCTAACATGTGAGGACGACGATAGCTTTGTGAAAGACGCCAGATGCATTGAACTATTTGACATCAAGGGCGTCAAACATGGTGGCGATCATACCACGAATGAAGTTAACAGCAAAGATAACATCTACAACAACAACAACAACAACATTAACAACATCAACACCAACAACAGCAACAACAGCAACTACAACTACAACAGCAACACAAGCAACAGCAACAACAACAACAGTATTACTAACAACAACAACGTTATGAACAACGACGATGACGCCAACGACTCCAACACAGATGACAACAATCTGATGAATTGGTGTCTCAGTTCTGATGTCATTGGTAAAGACCTCCTTAGCGAGTTTGACAACATATTCAAGAGAGGCGATCAAAATTTGGAAGGCGTCAACAAAAAAACAACGGCTACTACTACTGCTGCTACTACTGCTGCTACTACTACTGCTGCTACTACTGTTACTACTACTACTACTGCTACTACTACTACTACTGCTGTTGCTGCTGCTGCTACTGCTACTACTACAACGCCAAAATGTGCTTGTGAAGAGTATGATGATGAATTTTCTGTTCTTCAAACTGCTCTTGATATACTAGGTCAATCTTGCGATAGAAACTTCACCTACAACAACAAAAGAACAACAGCAGCTGCAGCAACTACAACAACAACTACTACTACTACGAAAGACATCAACAGTCTCATTACAACAACGTTTCCCACGTCATCTTCTCGCGTTGACGACACAATTACAGTTGCATCAACTTCCCCGGATTTGAGATCTCTTATTTCAAAAAATGTCACATCAACAACAACAACAGCAACAACTACAGCAACAACAACAGCAACAACTACAGCAACAACAACATCAGCTACAACGGCATCGTCAGTAACAACAACATTCAATGACATCAACAAATACTTTGACAACATCATGTTTGATAATGACGCTGTTATTAATAATACTGCTACTGATGGCCTAAAACAACAACAACAACTACAAACAATGCATGAATCAATTTCAAAGACAAGCCAAACAACATCGTCAGTAGCATCAACAACGACAGCACCACCACCAACAACAACATCAACAAATGACTCACTCAGTTCAGCGGCTCTAGACTTATTCTCCTTCGAACGTATGTACTCGATAGACAACCGCGGCAGTCTCCCGACAAGACGGCAACAGCAGCTAAACGTCAGCAACGAAGACGGCTACGTCTACGCACACTACAGCAACCACAACGACGACGACCATGATGGCGGTGGTGAGGATATTTTATATTTTTTTGGTGACTACGATGGTGATAATCATTTTGCTTGTTTTAGTCGTGCTGATATGGAAAATGATTATGGCGATTCTAAATTATCAATACCACTCGCAGCAGCTGCAGTAGCGACAGAAACGACAACATCGTCGTCGTCGTCGTCTTTGAAAACATCTGAACATATGCAACAGCATCAGCAACAGCGTCAGCCTAGTTTTAATGACAATAATTACACTACTCATTTTCCCGCTCAGTTGGATACGACGCTACTAATGGCGACAACAACAACAACATCGTCGTCGTTGTCGCCATCACCTTCACCATCATACTATCATCGTCATCAACAAAGACATTATAATCTGACTGATACCTTCAATATTTCATCGCCACCTAACGACAACAACAACACCATCAACAATGACGTCAACAACATTTTTGATGACAACAACAGCACCCCACCTCCAATCAATCGGCTGAGTCACCCCAACTTCACCTCTTCTTCAGCCAATCAGCGATCAGTATTTCCCACTTCAGCCAATCAGCAATCGTTATTTTCTCCTCCATCCAATCAGCATTCAGTATCTTCCTCCTCGGCTAATCAGCAGTCCGTATTCTCCAACGACCCTGACCTTATTAAAAGATTAGTTTCCTTGACATCTTCCTTCTCGGATCGCCCTAATTTCAAGGGCTCTGATAGAACCTTCATGTTACCCGTCGGCAGGGCGGCAAATAATAATAATAATAATAATAGCGACATAAATAATAATAACAATGATATTGATAATGATATAGAGAGGCTTACTTCGAAAGTCTACGGTGATAACGACGACGAAAACAACAACAATAAAAACAACAACAACGGCAACAACAACAATAATAATAACAATAATAATAATAATAATAACACAAAACATATCATTGGCTATTCTTTCAGCACGCCCGATCATAAAATCAACAATAATAACAAAAACAACAACAACAACAAAAATAATAATAATAATAATGAAAACCATCAATTCAATTATAAAAACCAGTCTTCTAGTCAGCCAATGAGAAGCGAGGATAAGTTTTCAAGGTCGACGGCTAGCCAATTACATTCCTTGACAGATCCCATCAGAAGAAAAGACCAGAGATTATCGCTGCATCATAACTACTATTTCTACAACCACAACGACAACGACGACGATGAGGTCATAAATGATGGTGATGATGATAGTAGGAAAAATGATCAACTAGATTGTTTGTTCCGTCATTTTCAACGCCAACAACAACAACAATCACCTTCTGGTAACAACAACAACAATATTAATAATAGAAATAATAAAAATTCCTCATTCAGACATCATCATCATCGTTACTCCACGAGGCACATTCCTTCGCCCAATCATAACAATTTCTCCTTTACATCCATTACGCCACCAGTATCATTATCATCACCATCAACGGCAGCTGCAGCAGCTGCAGCAGCTGCAGCAGCAGCAACCACAGCAACGACATCACCGTGGTTTGATAATTTCGGCTCTTCTAGTGTTAGGTTAACCAGTAAGGAGATGAAATCATGGCACGATCAATACAACTCTACTCTGCAACAACAACATCAACAACTACATCATCAACAACAACATCAACAACAACAACAAAGAATTTCTCAACCATCTAGATCACCACCTGTTCTTATATTAAATAGGCCTTCAACCGCCCTCGCTGCAACAAAACACCAACAACAACAATTAGCGATTGCTAAGTTACATCAAGAACATCAACAACAACACCAACAAACATCAACAACAACAATGACGTCATCCGATGTTACGAAATCAACGACAAATATACCGACGACTTCGCGTTCGCAGCACGTCAAGAATTACGTCAGAAGTTTATCTTGTAACGAAAACAACGACGATGACGTCATCATCGACAACATCCACAGCAGCAATGACAACAAGATCAACAAAATTGCAAAAAATTGTCAACATTTCATCAAAAGTTTAACTAACCAGGGCCTGAGTTCGTATTTGCCTACAACTTCGATAGTGACTGGCCAACAAAGACAACTGCAACATCAACAACAACATCAACAACAACATCAACTAAATTTTCAAGCCATTCCACAAAAGTGCAAACCTACAGCAACCGACCAATCAAAATTGACAACGCTTGCAACTGACCAATCAAAACTGACCAGGCCCACAACATCCGACCAATCAAAATCGGCTACGCCCGTTGTACCAAAGACATCGAATGCTCTTTTCGGCTTTGTGTCCGAGAAGAAACAATTGTTCGAAAAATAATTTAAATATGTATGAAAATAATTATTTCATTTAGTTATTGTGAATTATTATTTATAATTCTTTATTATTCTTTACTATTATTATTATTGTTATTATTTTTATTGTAGTTATTATTTACTATTAATTTTTGCATGTATAATATGTTATATTATATATGATATTTGATTACTACCACTACTACTACTGCTATTGCTACTGCTACTATTACTACTACTGCTGCTACTACTACTACTACGACTACTTAAAATAATTATAATTGTTATAATTATTAATGTTATTATTACGTTATTATTGTCATAAACATTTTTCATTTAAGACAATTGAGCTAAAGGAACAATTATGCATGCGTGTGGGACTGTGTGAGTGAATGAATGAATGAGTGAATGAATGAAATGAATGAATGAAGGGATTGACGGATGAATGGATGGATGAATTAAGAAAGGAAGGAACTAATGAACGAAAGAATGAAAAAGTAATATTTATAAAAATAGTTATAAGCTTTACAACTAGCAAATGCGTTTTTATATGATTTATTTTTTTTTGTTTCATAGTAATAGAACCAAGGAATGAATGAATGGATGGATGGAATGTATGAATGAATGGAATGAATGGATGGATTGAATGGATGGATTATTAAATGAGTGAATGAATTAACGAGTTAATTGTCTGGATGTATGTTAGGGAGATAAAAAAATGAGCGAATGAATGTGTGTATGAAAAAATGAATGATGAATGAATGAATGAGAAAAAGAACTAGTGTAGGGATGAAAGAATGAAGGATTGAATAAATATTTATTCAATAGGCTGCCAATAAATATTAAAACATGTTCACCATTAGGACGTATTATTTAACTTCATTTTTTTAAGTATTTATGCAACAATCTATTTTGATATATGTAATTATTATGTTTTAATATATATTTCATTCATTCATTCATTCATTCATTCATTCATTCATTCATTCATCCTGTTACTCGTTCTTTCGTACTTTTATTCACTTATTAGTCTATCATTTTGTTTATTCATCCGTTCGTTTGTTCATTCTTGACGTACTTTTTGTGTTTTTTAATTAATTCGTTTGGTTATTCACTTTCATTAATTCATTCGTTCATTTATTCATTCATTCTCTCATTCATTCATTCATTTATTAATTCATTCATTCATTCATTACTTCAATCATTCATTCTCTCATTCATTCATCTAGTTCTTCCCTTGACAATTTTAATTGTAATAACATTTTCAATCTTATGTATAGTTCATACTGTTATTTAGTTTTTACCACTTTTAGTCATTTTTTATTCATCCAGTCTAACGTTTTTCATTTGATTCTTATCAATCATTCATTCATTCATTCATTCATTCATTCATTCATTCATTCAACTTTTGTTAATTCATTCATGCTCCTCTTACGTGTTTGTATGACTACAATTTCTAATTTTATCACTGCTTTTTTTCATTTGTTTATTAATCCATTCATCTATCCATCTACTCATTCATTTATTCGTTTTTTGATCAATTTCATTCATTCGTTCATTCATTCATTCATTCATTCATTCATTCATTAGTCGGCATTTATTCCTGATTTATGTTGCTACACAATGTGTAATAATCATTATTTGCTCAAGTTGATGGATGGGTGAATGTTAATAAGTGAGCGTTAATGAACGAACATGTTTGTGAACAATGAAAACAAACTTTTGTCTGCCTATGGTTGTTTGAGTGTTTGTTTGTTTGCATGTTCATTGTACGGACAAACAAACGGACATATATGAACAATGTAAGAAGGAGTATGTGTGTGTGTATGTGTGTGTGTGGGGGGGGGGGGGGAGTGTGTATTATATATGTATGTGTGTGTAAACAGGTTTAAATGTTTGTACATGATGTGTAAATTTATCTTTTGACGATCATGATGACGCTTGTTGTTTGATGGTTACAAAGATCGCGGATGATCATATAATATAATATAATGATTATAACGTTTAGCCATATGTATTGATAACCTAGCCATTGATGGGGGAGGGTATAGTCGTATAGTCATTGTCAGGTTCTGCTATGCACTATGTTATTGGGTCACGCACACACACACACACACACACACACACACACACACACAGATATATATATATATATATATATATATATATATATATATATATATATATATATCATTTATTTAGTAGTTCTAGACAGAGAGGTTTCGATTACTTTCTTTTTTCTTTATCTTTTTTCATTTTTTGTTTTAATTTTTTCGAATAAAAAATTAATAAAAATAAAAAATTAAATTAAAGTCATTTACGCTGTAACTAGTTATTTTTAGAGGAAAAATAAACAAAAAACGCCATTCATTTATCTGGTCATTCTTTCATTTTGAGCAGCCATCCTGGTCATGCGAAACCAGAGATCTCCCAAATCAAACCAGGAATCTCAAAATATTTGCAGATGTTTTGTTTTTGTCTTGAAATGTAGATGTAGAACCAAAAATGTTATATTCAGAAAAATTTCAGTAAAATATTTCAAATTAAATCATTCAGTCCAAGTTTTTGACGGTTGGCATGCCACGCGTGGAGAAGTTGATTTGGAGTCATGTTTGCAAAATGGCTGGTATGAACCCTTCTTCATCTTTTTGTGGCAAAAGGCTGGATGATTCAGTCATCTGAGAGTGAGCTTGGAATTGAGGTTGGGCTTGCCAGTTGTTACTGAGTATGTTTGCCACTGCGGAGCAAAAGTCGATCCATTCGACCATCATAGTCTCTCATGCCTTGCAAGGCATTCAGCGATGAATGATTTCCTGGTTCGCTGCTTCCAGAAAGCTGCCATGTCCTACAGAAGAACCAGTCCTAATTGCTGAGGATGACTTTAGACCTGATGATGGTCAAATAATTCCATGGGCTATGGGGGGATGTTCGCTGACCTGGGATGTGACGTTCCAAACAACGATGGCCAAAAGATGCATCGGTAGAGGCAGGTACCACGGCATTAAAAGCGTACGACCAAAAAATGTCTAAGTATGCTACTCTCAATGGTTCTAAAATCTTTCAGATTTATAAATGAAGTTATTTCTTTCAAATTTCAAAATTTTAGTTTTAAATGGATATATTAATATTTGTATAGAATAAAATGCCTGTTTTGTGTCGAAAGATTTTTATACATTATTATTATTTATTTTTATTCTTTTTATTGTTACTTATTATTTTTGTTGTTTCATGCACCCTAACTTTTTATTCATCTAGATTCATTCGTTCATTTTTTGGTTCGCTCGTTCATCTATTCATTTCACTAATTTAGTTTATTCACCCATTCGTTCGTTCGATCGATCGATCATTCATTCATTCAATCATTCATTCGGTCATTCTATTCATTCCTTCATTTATTCTTTAACTTCACAATAGCAGTGTACTACTACAACAACTACTATTTATTCTAATGCTAACAATAATTAGGGTCATAATAAGAATAATTTCGAGTAAATTTCACCAAATTGCGCACGTAAAACACCCATAACAAAACAACAACGGTAATAACAACAATAATAATGACAACAACAATAATGGTAACCACCTAACACAAAAGGCCGCTTAATTAGGGTCCATGTTAACGTCCTACCAGAATAAATAATAATATTAATAATAACTTTTTTAAAGTTTTTTTTATCGCATACATAAATGTGTATTTGAGCCTGTTTGGACAAAGTTGATGCCATTTTAAGGTTTGAATGCTTTGTGAAAATTAATTGAGCCATTTAAAGTTATCAATTGGGTTAATTAGATAAATTAATCAGTTTAATTAAATTCAATTTTTAGTAATAATGATGATGATGACGGTGATGGTGATAATGTTAAAAATTTTTGCCCTGCGAAACTTTTGCTGTTTTACCACTGCCGTTAGAGAAGCGGGCAAGTTTTTTTTTAAAATTTATTTAAACGCTACTGTGCGTGTGCGTGCGTGCGTGTTAATTATCTTCCAATAAAAAACATCGTCAGAGTGCGGCAAACGATCTACAGGCTACGAACTCAGTGATTCCTACATCATAAATGGCGACCCGACGGGTCGCCATTTATGATGTAGGCATAAATGGCCATGGCACGCCCTGGTGTACTCCGTGGAGGGAAACTTCCTACGTACTTGTGGGGGTAGCGTTTTGAATGAGTGGTGAATTCTAACTGCAGCCTATTGCATCTGGTGTGTTTTTGGTGTCGATTTTCATTATTTCATTCTTTTAATCATTCAATCAATTACTCGATCAATCCATTAATTTTTTGTCAGGAGGAGTGAGACCTTCAATAAAAACATTGTCCGCGTTCAAGCTGGTACTAACATTAAAATGAACCCAGATGTCGAGAGCATAACGGTTGACGAAATCAGGCATTTCAACTTCAACTACACAGCATATTTGAACGATATTTTGTTGCTGAAGTTGAGTAAACCATTGGTGTTTAGTCTATCCATTCGACCTGTTTGTCTCAATAGTTTAAACGTTGCTGAAAGTCTTTATGACGTGTGCGTTTTCACTGGCTATCCATCTAATGGCAATACACTTGGTATGTTGAGCTTTTACACGTTCGTTTCTGGTTAAAATGTCTCAATCGTATCAAATAAAAACTTCCACAGGCTGGCCCAAACCAGTTCTAATGAAGGCGAGGATTAAACCCATAACTGAATCCGACTGTAAGAAGTTGTTCGTCAATCTAACTGGAAGGGGTGAAGAAAACTTTAAGGTCGCTTATGATAAACAGCTTTGTGCTTTAACTGCCAAGAAGGATACAAAAATTTGCAAGGTGTGACACACAAACGCACTTACGTATCTATGACTATATCTATACAATTATTGAATATAATACACACACATACACGCATACACACCCACTCATTCATGCACACACAACACACACACATACTCATTCATGTACACACAACCCACACAAACACATACACACACTCATTCATGTACACACAAACACATACAAACACACACATACATTCACAAGGAGATAGTGGCGGAGCATTAGTGTGTAGAAATTCCGAATTACAGTGGTTCCAAATCGGGATATTCAGCTCTAGTTATTACATAGGCGAAAATTTCTGTGTTATTCCCATTTCTACTAGAATATCCTATTATTATCAGGATATCTTGAGGGCTATTCAGTGAAATTTCTGACAGAAAAATGTTATTTTGTAATTTAATGAAAATTATACGAATAATTTACTTAACTCTTAGTTAACTCTATTAATTTATTAATTAATTTATTACTTGTTTATCAATTATTAATAATTAATTAATTGTTTATTGAGAATTTGTGTTGTACACTAAGTTTTTTATTGTGTAAATTTATCTTCAATCTCGTATGTAGAATATATATACGTCTAATAATATAAAGAATACAATATTTAGAAAGTTAACAGCAAGTATGTGTTATAACTTAAATAACAGTTTTATAAATAATTCAGTTTTTGAAATTTGTAAGATTTGGAAATTGTTTAATGACATTTTATTCCACAAAATTCAAACTTAAAACTTAAGTTCACTTTTAATTATGAGTCGTCCATTTTTGATTATTAAGAGCCGATTAACGTTGATAATAATAAATTATAATCAGATCATTTCCTCTATTTAAATGGCCAAACTACTTTGAAATTTTTAGTGCATGCAGATCAAAAAGTCTTTTTAAACCTCTGAAATTATTTTGAATTTTATTTTAATCTCCAAGTTTTTTTTCTTGTGTTGTGTTTTGTTTTGTGTTGGTTGTGGTTGTCCATGGTTGTTCAATTTTAATTAGACTGTTAGTTGAGTTAGATACCGAATTTAAAAATCAAAAGACCAATCAAAATGCAATCGGAGATGGACGATCTTAAGGACAAGCCCCCTGCTCCACCTGTTCGATTGACTAGCGCAAAGTAACTAAACTAAACTTTAATAATTTTAATTTGATTTATAATTATTTATAATAATTATATTTTAATCTTTAACACTATTATATTATAAAATTATAATATAATAATTTTTATTATATTATGATCACTTGTATTTTGTATTAAAATCTAATGAAAAGTGTATTCAAACTTTTATGTGTATATATTCGTATTGATTGTGTAATTAATATACAATATTATATTATATTATACAATATTAAATTATTATATTTTAGTATTTAAATACAAAAAACACATACATAAGTACAAACTCATATTTTGTATTGGTTAGTTAAATCTTAGCTCTTAGAACTTGTTTTTTTAAGACATATGTAGTCAATTAGTATGTGTTTGTATGTGTTAATTACTATGTATATATATATATATATATATATATATATATATATATATTTATATTTATTTATTTATTTTTATATATATATTTATTTTTATATATGTACTAGCAGGTTCTTAGTCAATAAATCAATTAACTAGTATTTTTAATTTAATTTGAACTAATTATTTCTACGAAATGTAGAGATAATAGCTTCCCTCTTGACATGAGACCGCTACCCAAGGAGCCAGAGGATGAAAAGAAGAAAAAAATAAAAACTGCTAAAAGTGATTTTTTTAAAATAATTAAATTTAACTAATATATGAATAAATGAAAAGATAATAAATAAATAGACTAATTAATTAGTTAGTTATATAATTTTTTTGTTTTTTGGAAGAATGTTAAATAAACAAGCTAAACAATAGAGTAGTAGTGTTAGTAAAATTAAAGGTTTAAACT